ATATCAAATATATTAATTATTTAAGATGAACGTTCTTCTGCCGCCTCCACCGTTACTGCGGGACCGGCTGTGGATCAGTCATATGTTGAAAGCATTGTTCAAGAGATTTCNATAGAGTGGGTATATAGCTAAAGCTGTAGCTAGCTATATATAGGGATATTATTATTGGGAGAAGGTCTTCTAAGCCTTTTTGCAGAAAGATAGGCAGAATTTCATCTCCTCCAGGCGATTTTAGGGGCTTGAAATTCGAGATAGCCCACCTTACTCTGTTGGGTGTGAAAATGTTTCCAGCTGTGCTGTGAACCCTACCTGATGGACGGGTTATGTCCATTATTTTAGGGTCGGCATCTGCATGGGGGCAGACTTTTGAGGAAGGAAAGTGTGTACTCAGTACTCAGTAGTACACACTTTCCTTCCTATGACTTAGGGATAGAAACAACTTTGGCAGATTTCCATTTCTCAGGAAAGACACCAAACTCTAAACAAAAGTTAATTACATGATGAAAGTTTAAAATTCGATCTACACATTAACAAAAGCTTACAGAGAACATACGCAGCATTAAAGCTCATTTATTCCAGCAGATAATTCATAAATAAAACAAGCAAACGTTTGTTACGCGATAACTATGCTATCTACTGTCGCATTTCAACTTTGCTGATTATATTACTCGTTTTTATCGCATGCACTTAAGTACCTACAAAATTCAAAAAGTACAAAATTCTTGTATAGGATTGTTGTTTGGGTTGAGGCGAAGAGGTCATGTTAGTGGTAAATTGTCGGAAATAAACTGGTTAAAAACTACTGTTCCGCAACGTTATGCTTAAGGAGAGACCTACTTATTTGTACAATAAAATTACATTCCGTTGTGATGTGCACAACCTTAATCTGAGGTCTAAGGGTACCTTAACTCCACCTGTACATAATACGGAATTTTTAAGAGAAGTTTTACATATCAAATATATTAATTATTTAAGATGAACGTTCTTCTGCCGCCTCCACCGTTACTGCGGGACCGGCTGTGGATCAGTCATATGTTGAAAGCATTGTTCAAGAGATTTCGGACCGGGAAAAACGTAAGAGTAATCTAGTAGCATTCAACTTGCCTGAGCTTCCGGATGGTAGTAAAGTTGACCAGCAAAATGATGATGTTAGATCTATAAAAGAGATACTTAACTATTTGAAAGTCCAGACACCTAATTTTACTGTAAAGCGATTGGGTAAATTTGATCCGTCGATATTGAATCGTAAGCGCCCATTGAAAATCTCTTTTTCCTCCTCTGATGTAGTTCACAATGTTCTTAGGAACATTAAGTCATTATTAAAATCTGATAAGTTCAAAGCTGTTGTTTTAACAACAGACAAAACACCGTTGCAAAATTCTTTCTACAAATCTCTCAAAACACAGCTTGATACCCGCATTGCCGCCGGCGAGGTGAACATAAGAATTAAATATGTGAATGGGTCACCTAGAATTGTATCATCTGACAGTGACCGAAGTATCCAACGGGGAAACTAATAGAATCCAACAAGAAGACCCACACACTTCGTTTATTTTATCAGAATGTGCAAGGACTACGAACAAAAACTCACCAATTATGCACAGCCACAAATTCTACCGATTTCGATATTATTTTGCTTACCGAAACATGGCTGTCTCCGGACATCACCAACTCTGAGTTGCTGCCTACTACATTTAATGTAATTAGAAATGATCGTAATCACCGTCTTGTGGATAGAAGAGTGGGCGGTGGCGTTCTTATTGCCTGCAGTCAGCAAACCAAATTGTTCAACTGTGATATGTCCGAGATTTTAAATCTTGCCCCGCTAATTGATGTGGTTGTTGGTAAATGTGTCTATTTCTCGATCAGCATATTTATTATTACACTATACATACCTCCTGATGTTCCGCTGGATGATTTGGAACTGTTTCTTGATTCGCTTAGTATCAGCTTGATTGGAAAGAATATTATAATTTGTGGCGACTTTAATTGCTTCCGTTTTGTGATGTCCGAGAATAGCCTCGACCGCAAATCTTTCCTTTTGAAGAACTTTGTTGATACTTTAAACCTAGTTCAACATAACCATATCTACAACTCTAGAGGTAGGATACTCGACTTAGTATTTACTAACTTTAACTGCGAAGTAACTGCAGAGCGTGACGTTGCACCCTTACTTACTGAAAACTTTAATCATCCTGCACTGAACATCTCCATTAAATCTCAGAATATTGAAGATGCTCTAGTGTTTCCATCAAATAACAACCTTCGTTTTAACTTCCGTAAAGCGGACTTTCGTGGATTGTATGACGATATTGGTCGTGTTGTCTGGTCTGATATATTGATGTGCTCGGATATTAATATTGCTGTGGAAAAATTTTACTATAATATCTATAACGTTATTGAAAAACATGTACCCAAATACTGCTTATCGCCGTCGAAATTTCCTCTATGGTTTACTGGAAGCACTAAGCGTATATTGAATATGAAGGAGCACTACTTTAAGAAGTGGAAGAGTTCTAAACAGCTATCATATTACGATGAATATGTTAGGTTGCGTCGTTTATCCAAGGATGCAATAGTTTCTGATTATCAGGCTTATCTCGTGAATACCGAAAATTGTATATTGACCGACCCCAAAAATTTCTGGCGTTACGTGAATCAGAAACATGGTAATTCGCGTATTCCAGGCTGCATGACCTTTGCTGGCTCTGAAATCTCTGATCCCCTGGAAATAGTGCAGGCCTTCTCTGTCTTGTTTTCTGAAGCCTTCAATCCTGGACTTACAACTATCGGTAACTGTAACCAGCAAGTCAACTGGCCTGGACCCTTCTACATTACTCCATTTTCTATCGAGGAGGTAGAAATCTGTATGAAACGACTAAAGAATGACTCTACCGCTGGCGACGACGGTCTCCCAAGTTTTATTATTAAAGATTGTGCACCCTTCCTCAGCAAACCTTTAACCTTTATGTTTAATTTATGCTTAAAAACTAAAACTTTTCCTGCAGTATGGAAAAAAACTCGGATAACGCCGGTTTTTAAGAAGGGAGACAGATTTAGTATTGAAAATTACCGACCTATTAGCATTTTGAACAATTGCTCGAAAGTCTTCGAAATGTTGCTATACTCCAGAATGAGTTACTGTGTTCGCCCATACATATCTGATCATCAGCACGGATTTATGACTGGTCGTTCAACTATGACTAATTTAGCAGAGGTAACGCAGTTCATCAGCGAGCACATGGATAAACGGGAACAAGTTGACATAATTTACACAGATTTTACAAAGGCATTTGATAGATTAGATCATGGAATACTTCTTTCTAAACTCTGCAGTCTTGGATTTACCAATGATTTCGTGGATTTAATTTCATCTTACCTCTCCAATAGACTTTGCTATGTGAGCTACAACGGTTTTAAATCTAATACGTTCACTGCTGGCTCTGGTGTTCCACAGGGTTCCAACCTGGGTCCCCTTCTATTCAATGTTTATCTGAACGATCTATTACGACGACTTGATTGTAATGTGCTTGCTTACGCCGATGACGTAAAGATATTCGCTCATGTAACATCCCCTGAAGACTGTGTTATCTTACAGCGCAATCTGAACATTATCAGTTCCTGGTCAATACAGAATGGAATTGACCTTAACATAGCAAAATGCGTTGTCGTATCTTACGCAAGGTGTAATAACCCATTAAGGTTTAATTATAGTGTGAGAGTTGAAGCAATACGGAGAGAACGCGCTATTCGAGATTTGGGTGTCTTATTCGATGACCAGTTGAAATTCAAAGATCATGTTAACGCTATAGTAAAGTCAGCCTCTGGTGCATTGAGTTTCATAATCAGGCAATGTAAAAAATTTAACAACGTAGCTGCATTAACAGTACTTTTCTATGCGTTTGTTCGTACAAAATTGGAATATGGTTCTATGGTTTGGTATCCTTATTATACTTCTCACCAGCTCATGCTCGAGAGAGTGCAGAAGAGGTTCTTAAAATACTTACATTTTAAAACAGTTGGTCAGTATCCGCTGCGAGGTGTTGACTACGTTGCGTTATTGGAAGAATTTAATTTTTCATCTTTGAACAATCGTAGAGAAGAAGCCAGTAGAAAATTTTTATCGAACATCGTCAATTGTACTGTCGACTCACCTTCACTTCTTGCTCGAGTTGGATTCATTATACCCAGACCTGGTATCAGGAATAGCAACACATACCAGGTGCCGATCGCTAGGACCAACGCCAACGTTCTGATGCGGGCGCCTCTGACACATATGGCACGGAACGCAAATAATGAAGTTACCACTTAAACTATATATCCCTTATTAATTTTGTAATTTGTAAAATATCCCTATTGTGACATATTATTATTATTATTATTTTTTTTTCTCTTGTTTTTGTTTTGAATTTATCTGAATTGCTATTAATTTTTGTTTTGTGCGCTTCACATCTCACTTTACCTTTTCTTCTCTTTGTTGTACATTATCCTGTAATTGGGTCTTCCTGTTGGATAATAAAGAGATATTATTATTATTATAAGATCATTATACTGGGGAGAAGTGAGGTTTTAGTACTTTGTCGCGGATCACTGCCGTCGTAGGATGTGGGTGAGAGCGACGATAATTATTGTTCTTTTGTGGCATAGGATTTAGAAAAGTAATTTTTTGGTTAATGTTATAAAGTGATAATTTTTGTTATGATATTTTGGGTATTAGATCATGATGGGTTGGTGGAAGATCGGCGCAAATCGAACCAATCCATATTCACATTTCTTTTGTATTTTCTTATTTATGTAGGTACATGGTTTTTTGCCGCTCAATAAAATTTATTATTATTATTATTAATTGTATCGCCAGCAAACATAACTATGTCTTCGTTGATAGCTAGGACATATGTATATTAGACTACTTAGAGGTATTCTAAAATATTTAATTTGAAGATCATGTGTTTAGTCCATGTAACACCATATTCTATGAGTTAATGAATGCTTTATTTTAGGTCCTAATTTTCAGTACGTTCACAAGTATGCTGGATTTGCTTGAAGATTACATGGGTTTAGCAGGATACAACTTTCGTCGTTTAGACGGAAGTGATCGGTTGGATGTTCGTGGAATAAGCGTTGATGATTTTAATAACGATTCCGATGTATTTATATTTTTAATATCAACAAGAGCTGGCGGATTAGGATTAAATTTAACCGGAGCTGATACCGTCATTTTCTTCGATAGAGATTGGGTAATTTATTAATATTATTTCAAATCTCGTTTGTTATAATTTAATTGAATCTGTTTAGAATCCACAAATGGATCTTCAAGCACAAGATCGTTGCCATAGAATTGGTCAAACAAAACCAGTTATGGTTTACTCTTTGATAACAAAAAATACGATTGATGAAAAAATCGTTTCTTTGGGTCACGTTAAACGACGTTTAGAAAAGATCGTTATTAAAGATGGCAAATTTAGTAATGCTAATACAAGTAATTATAGGATCGATTTGCACGAGTTAAAGAGTATGTTGCTGCAAGATAATTCCGAAGTAGTTGTCAATAATGAAAATGTTTTAAGCGAAACTGAATTGAAAAATTTATTAGATCGATCCGAACTTTATGCAATGATGGATAAAAAGAAAGTTGATAATGATAATGAAGTTAAAAGAAGAAGCAGGGATAATAAAGAAAATGAGATTACAAACTGAATCATCATAAATGATTAATGTGAGAGAAGAAACAGTATTATTATTTTGAGTTACCTTACATTTACTTTTACTTAGTTTTTGAATATTTTTTTAATTTATTATTAGTATATTTTTTGTAATAACAATAAGAATCATTCAAAATATATTTTTGTCTTATAATTTTTATTAATTTTATTCCTCCTTTTAATAAGCGCCATCTATCGAAATAAAAATTATATCTGTTGGGATAGATTATTTAAAATTAATATATATATATAACAATCATATGTATAAAAAATAAGTAGTTTGTAAATTTATTTATAATAAATTAAGTTAAAAATTTATAAAAATTTCAAAATGATTGTTGTAACGAAAGTAGTGAAGTTAGTTACTAAAAAAAATCAAAGTTGGTAAAGTAGAAATCGCACAGGTTATCGACCTTTTTTCCGGTGTCTCCCGAACTAGCACCAACTGGTCGTGCACGTAACTTAAAAATAATCTTTAATCATCCCAGAAAAATGAAGATTTTCAAGGACATCATCACCGGTAATTAATTTCTAAATCCTTTTGACATTTAAATTCGTCAATTTTTCTTCGATATTCTGTCGAAATCTTCGGTATTCACTTTGACGTTTCAACCTAACCTAAAAACCTGTCAAATTCTAACCTTTATTATTTCTTACGTAGCGACCACAATCCAATTTTCATTCATTTCTCGTTTAATTCGCATTTATTTTATTAATTCGTGTTTGGTAAAATATGATTTTTCGTATCTTTTTAAATATATATTTTTTTTAGGTGACGAAATGTTCTCTGATACGTACAAAATGAAATTAGTAGATGAAGTAATTTATGAAGTATATGGTAAACTTATTCAGAGGACCCAAGGTGGTATTGAAATAGCTGGTTTTAATCCATCGGCGGAAGAAGCTGACGAAGGTACGGATGAAGCCGTTGAATCAGGCGTTGATGTCGTTTTAAATCACCGATTGGCTGAAACTTTTGCATTTGGTGATAAGAAAAGTTACACTTTGTACCTTAAGGATTATATGAAGAAGTAAGTTCAATTCATTTTATTTTTTTTATTAAATTTAACACTAAATTTATATTAGAGAGTGACTTATATTTAATTATTAAAAATGTTACCTTCTTTTTTTATTTGCTAAACTGATAATTAATGTATGTTAATAGAAATTATCCAAGAAAAAAATTAAAAAACCAACTTACTTAAGTCTCAATAAATATGCTCCATATTGTCAGATTTCAATAAGGGCCATAATATGGGTGTGGTCAATATGCAATTCTGTAGTAAAGTTAATATTCCTATATCTAGTATTATACTGCATGATGATCTAATTCGTACTAATCAAATTTCACATTGGCATTTGGCCGCGTTATGCATCACTTGACTAAGCAACAAATAAACAATGTTGAGAAAAATGGGATTTTCGTTTTCATCTCTCTAAAAATATGACTTCTCAGAATAGACAGGCTCAAACTATTGAAAATTGTTTGGGGCCTATCTATTTTTATCACAGAACACTGATGACAGCCATCACAAGCACAGAATTCGCTTGGTTAGTCCTTTTACGATTATACAGGCTGTTTCTGTAAGTCATGGCATAAATTTAATCACAAATACTAGAGTCAAAATGATATTTCCTATAAAATTTTTTGAAGAAAATTATCTAGAATTTGATTTTGTACTTTTCAACTGGTTTCTATTTTATATAGAATTTAAGTCTAACTAGTTTTGCCCCTTGGCCATCTAGACTCTACAAATAGATTAACATCCCTCATCCTATCCATTTTACAAACAAGTTTCTTAATATTTCTTTTTCTTTTGTTAAAGAAGATCACATATCAAAGTCGAAATCAGATAATTTGTTACTAATTTCCAAAATTAAAGTTTAAAAAGTTGTAAAATGAAATTAAGGACGAAGTGTTACAAGTTTACAGGTTAAAATTTAAGAACCCTCTTTTTTTTAACAAAAGAAATATTAAGAAACTTGAGAAAAATCAAAAATCATCATGTGATTTAATAATCGATTTTTTTTTAATGTGAAATGTCCCAAAAGAACACATTAAAAATAAAAAGAAAGTGCTGAAAAATGACTAACACTAGATTAACTTCACTTATAAAACTTCTATTATATGATAACTAACTTCAGGTTTAAAATGTCAACCTCATTTGACATGACATATTTATCTTTAATATTAATGAAGTTATGGTCAACTTCCGGTTAAGAATGTCAACGTTAATTTTGATATATTTGTAATCGTCGTGAAAAATCCTTTAAAATGAGTCCAAACATGATACATTTAATTCCAATATTACTCGAGATGTAAGCAACTTCCAATTTGAAATGTCAATGTCATTTTGACATATTCTTAATTTTTATAAAATGTCTTAATATTTGTCACAAAAACAAAAATATAATTAAAAAAAATCAAAAATTAAGGTTGGTATTAATATTAAAAAATGAAATTCATTTAATGTTTAATGTCTTTTATTCTAACTGTTTTGTTTTTTGAGATAAGGGCGTCATCTTTGGACTCATTTTAAAGGTTTTTTCATGAAGATGACAAATATATATATATATATATCAAAATTAACGTTGACGTTTCAAACCGGAAGTGATTGTATCTTCATTAATGTCAAAGTTAAATATGTCGAGTTTGTACTCATTTTAAATGATTTTTTATGAAGTTGACAAATATGTCAAAATTAATAGTTGAAAGTTCGAATTTTTTGGTTTTTTTGAGAGTAATGCGTCATGTTTGGACTCAAGGTCTATAGAATATAAGGTTACCCAATACCGATTCTCCTCTGAGAGGCAAGGTGGGTCAGTGACGTAGCTGGTTCTATGAACAACACAACACGATGCGAGGTTTAAATATTTTATATAGACTGTACCACAATATAGGCACGTATAGGCTATCTTTCACTCTGACTGTATCGAACCAGTGACGTCAATCTGCGGGGTAATAATCGATACTACAGAGGCATAGGGAATGAGGTAACCTTATGTTCTATAAACCTTGGTTTGGACTCACTTTAGAGGTTATTTTATGAAAATTACGAATATAACAATAAAATTAAAGTTGATATTGACAACGAATGTTTCTAGTTCTCGTTCTAGTTTTAGTTCAATAAAAATATACAACATAGTAATATCTTATGCTAACTAGCGCTACCTACCACTGCCACTAGAACTAACACTAGACTAAGAACTAGAAACATTCGGGTTTAGTCTCACATCTCTCAAGACGGCTAAACCTGAATGATTCTAGTTCTAGGTCTAGTTTTAGTGCAATAAAAATATGCAACATAGTGATATCTTATGCTAACTAGTGCTACCTACCGTTGTCGTTTGTAAAATGGATAAGATGAGAGATGTTAATCTATTTGTAGAGTCTCTGAAGATGGCTAAGGGCCGAAACTAGTTAGACTTAAATTCTACATAAAATAAAAGACAAACTTTTAATTTTATACTAACATCTAGAAAACGACATAGGTCCGAAATTGTAGACGTTCATCTGTTTTTTCTATTGTAGAATTTCTTGGTGTATTAAGTTTCGTATCTAAGTCGGTTCTTAGACGTATGATGCAAGTCGGACTTGAATTCGTATAATGTGATTGGCGCTTAGCTTTATCTTATAAAACAAATGGTATTTTAGGTCTTTCGATATTCAGCATTTTTTCTAAGAGAAGTTACACCTTTACCTACCAGACAGCATGAAAATCTCTAAAAACGATAAAATTATCAGTTGTATTAGGATTGATCAAATAATTTAACTTTTATGGAGATAATGATCATGCTCGTTTTAGTAAAATTTCTATATTGATTTTATGTTCTACTATTTCATTTATGTAGTCAAACAAAAAATATTGATATAAACGAAAAACAGACAATAACATAAAAATCAGGTTTTGTTCCAGTATTACTCATTTGAAAATACATTGTATGTAAAATAGATTCCTTTAGTATAAATGAACATTTACTGTTAACAGTCTAAAGTTATTTAAATAAAATAACACAGTTTATAGCAGGGTTCAACTAATTTAAATTAAAAATAAAACTGCACTTTATTACAAAATTAACAAAACATTTAATACAAAAATTAACATTCATTATAATATTAATCTAAGAAAACAAGTATTCCTGCCTTTTCAACACCTAACTTTCGTAAAGTATAACAAAAGCTGATGAACAAACTGTACATAAAAATTGCTTTAATATTGGCAGTACCTTCTCTACTTCAGCAATGTGTTTTTGTGACAACCACCATTCTAAAGTAGTTACATTACTTAAAACTTCCTCTGAAAACATTACTGATGTAAATGGTTCTATTTTTGCTTGTAGTTTTATAGCTAGCGGTAGTAAACCGGTATTAGCCTCCTCTTTTTCTACGGATGTTTACTTATACATAGTGTTAGTAACATCTACAATATAGGCTATCTGTAAGTTATCAAAAACTTTCATTTGTACTGATGATAATTTTTCTTTGAGTAATGTATTTAATTCTTTCCAAGCTTCCACTGCGTCAGAGAGGAAAGCATTCTTTTTTTGTAATTTGTCAAGTGCTACACTTATACAGCATTGGAAAAAAGTAGAGCAATTTTTAATTTTTTTATATTAAATTTATGTATTTCGTCAGGTTTTACATTACTATGGCAATGTGTATTATGTAGTAATTGTGTAGCCGTTATTTTTATAAAAATTAAACAGAATTGCAAAAGTTGAGTTGGAAAAAAGTAGAATTTAACAATTTATAGGTAAATAACAGTTAAATTGAATAAAAAGCAAAGATTTTTTGGTACTTAATACAATCCTCCTTTATTATTAAAGTCATCGTGATATCTTCGTGACATTGAGTGTAATAAATTGTCAATGAATTTTTCGATATTTTAGACCATTCATTTTGAAGAGCACCGAACAATTCGTCACCATTTCTGTAAATTTTATTTCGAATTTTATCGTCAACTATTTTTCATAGATTTTGTATAGGATTTAAGTCTGGTGACTGTGACTGCCATGTCATCAAATTTATTTTATTTTGTTCAAACCATTCCTCTACGACTTTAGATTCGGATCGTTGTCCTGTTGAAATTTATAAGAGATAGGCAGATTTTCGTAGACATAAGGTTCCATAACATTTCTTAATACATCATGATACATAAATCTGTTCATTATTCCCATAATACGGTGTATAGGGCCTACACCAAACCCAGATGTTTTGCATGTACTTAGAAGTCAGCCTTTTTCCTATTGGACGCCTCACATATTGCACTCCATCACTTTTAAATAAGTTAAACTAGGCTTCATCACTAAACAATACCTTTTTTCATTCGTTGTATGTCCACTCTTGATGCAAATGGTAGTCTTGCGGCTTTATTTTTTTTGTAGAAGTGGTTTTTTCGCTGGTCTTCGGGCAAATAATTTATTTTCAATTAATCTATTGCGTGTTGATACCTCCAAATTGTGTGTTTCTTATAACTCCTCAGCCTTAATTTTAGCTGAAGAATAAAATTAATATTTTTTAGCTGTTCTTACAATTATTCTATCAAGGCATCCATTGGTTTTTCTGGAACGTCCAGAGCTACACCACGAGGCATTTTCAAGACTGGTCTTATCGAATGTATCTTATCAAAAACTCGTTCATATTTGCCATATGTTTGTATTTCTTAGCAAAATTGTTTCACTTTTTTCCAACCCAAGTTTCACAATTTTATTTTATTTCTAATAAAATAAAGCTAGCTTTGTGAAACCTTCTTCTCCCATCAGTCTTCTTTAGTTCTAGCATGTAGAAGGTAGAATTCCACCTGGTTGGTACGTCTTGAACAACCTTTTTTGGTATCAAGGCCAAATTATTCTGAATTCTTTTTAGTTTGTTACATGCTAACGAAGAGTGATTAAAATATGATAATCAGATATAGCCCTCTGCGTAAAAATAGTATCCGTTACTACAAGCTACAGTGAATGAATAAAATAACTTTCGCTATCAATTTTGTTATCTTTGCAGCCTTTAATCATGTTAGTGTCATTATCACGTAACATTATTGTAATTTGATTCAATTGTATGTTCCATAATTGAGTTATATTCAAAATGTTATTGCGACAGCCATTCCAGTATGACTTCCTCGCGCAACTCAGCACAATGTTTTCCCTCCCCCATTCATTTGTTATCCAATTGTGGCGTTGCACATATTCCCTGCCACATTGATTTTACTTACTTTTTCAAAAAATCAAGAAATCTGTTATTTTACGTTACTATGTATAAGTTCATTTTTTTATTGATTGAATAGACTTCAGCAAAAAAGGAAGTCAATTTTTTTTATTTTAAAAATACAAAATCTTTTTCTAAAAAATACTGGTTATATTATTTTATAATATGTGAGAAAACCCCCACACCAATATCCTGTAATACTTATGAAACTATTATTGTTTTTAGAACATGTTCAAATATCAGAAGTTAACGCTATATATCTATTCCATTTTAGAAATTTTTTTGCAATTTGAGTCCGTTATCTGTTATGTCTTATATTGTGGTGCTATATTTTATTTTGCATGTAGTTCCAAGAAGGAATAAGGGTATACTGTGGAACAATAGTAGAGAACAAACGAGGAAACTTTTTTATCTACCACCGAATACGGTTGATTATCTAAGCAGATCATCTCAGCTATTTTGACAGTAATTTTTTAGCTCTTTTTTAGCTCATCGATCCCAAGTCGTTTATATCCCAAGGTTGTTGCATTTAAAATTTAAGATTTGCCTCTTTCGTTAATGTTTTCTCAAGTTTCTTATCTTCAGTTTTGTTTTCTTGTTATTTCTTATATTCATCTTCATAGTGTCGTTTTAAATGAAGTATATAGTAACGGACTAGTGGGAGCTGCTTTTCCTTTCGCTCCTCTTGATATTACTTACTTGCACAATTTATAATTAGCTTTTGTTTCATCACTTTCATTAATGTTGAAATATTGCCAAACTTTACAATTTTTAATAGACATTTTTAACATCAGACCAAAGATTAAAGAGTAAACAAGATGCAACGCTTTGCGTCGGCACCTTTGATATAGGGCCGCCATTTTTTTATGACCGATATGGACCTTTAAATTGGAATGGTTTGTTATTGTCAGGATATTTAAATTGGAATGTCTTCTATCTCTTTTCAAAACTAGAGTTTCTCACTCTAGCGGCATATCTTGTTTACTCTTTGATCAGGCTTTTAGACGTACATAACCCGTCGAATATACGTCGTATTAACTTAAACACTAAAAGAGCGAACGTGTTTCAACTTGCATATAAAATTTTTAAACAGCAGTCAGCCATAGCACAATTTGTAGCGAAAAATAACGAATGATCCGGCTTAGAAATTGGCCGGAATTCCGGTTCCGGTGATCCGGCTAAACGGCGATCCGTGCCATCACGCTACTATGTGCAAACACTTTTTGTTGACTCCTTTTTGTAGTTCTTCAATGAACATAATCTTTTGGATAATTTATTATCAATAAGATACCTTCCCTAAACTGGTAACCCAGAAATAATATATTCATCATTGGAACTAAAAGCGACCGTCCATAAATCAACCGGACCCACTTCAATAGACGAAATTTTCTCTCCACTCCACTATGAATATGAATAAATTCCAAATTCTCTTGCTTGAATCTAAGAAACTTGAGGCGGATAATCTCCCATCATTAGTAACGACTACAGAAACAACTCCTAATGAATCACCTTCCAATTGATGTTTTACCTCCAACTTATTATCCTTTACTTCCCATACACTAAGGCCCAGTTTATTCACCTTTGGTTACATTTAACTAATGGATATTTTCTTATAATATTTTATTACTTTATATTTCTGGTGAAACCGGAATTTCCTCGGGTTCAGTTCATAAAATTATAAAACTTCTTAAATTCTATCCCTATAAATTGAAGATACATGAGAACTAAGATGACTCAAGATGATTTTGATGGAAGAGATCAGTTGTTTCAATAAATGACCACTATGATTAATAATAATTTGATGAATGTACTTTTTGTTTATATGAAAGTTTGAAATTATGAAAATCGTTATCTACAGAAGGAGACACCCAGTATACTGAGAAAATTAATATATGGGAAAATTAATGTAACATCTTGAGGGTCCAAGTAATTGGTCCATTGTTTATCAATGGAACTCTAAATGGTGAAACATATGAAGGTGCGTTGGAAATTATCAATACGTTAATAATACAATAATACATCAATACGTTAACTGAACCTCTCAAATATCAATTAGATAGAGAAGTAAATATTATCCCACTATGTTTTTCCAGTATGGCAATGGTTAGGAAATGTATTTGTAAATATTATTTTGGCCTATAAGTTATATCAATATGGTATCAATTTTGCCTTGGTCACAAACTATTTCGGATTAAACAGACGGCGTCACATATTTTTAAATTAATTTAAGTCTACCAGTGTGAAGTTACCCATAAATTCCATCCATAAAAAAAACCTTTTTTTGTTTATGCATCGATTTCAATGATTAATAGCTCATTAGAAAGATCTCGTAGAGTAGAGCCTAACATAGTTTTGACGGCGCAGATTTTGGACGGGAACACCTTAAATTCTGCGAAAAACAGTAAAATATATACAGGGTGTATCTGAATGACTGCAACAAACTTCAAGGGGTGATTCTTTAGTGAATTTTAAGGGTACTTTGATATATGAACCATGGGCGACTTCGGCTCCCCTAAAGGAGCTACACCCCTTCAAAAATGGCGAAAAATTTTGGTTTAATTTTTTTTTCTCAAAAATCATAAACGCTAGGAAAATGAAATTTGTGGAATATGTTTAACTCATGATAGGGCACGTTTTGACCCTATTTGTACTTTCAACCTACCAAATTTCATTCTACAAAATTTCATATTTTTTTTATTTTTTTCCTTCTACTTTTACATACTTTATCGATTTTTTGAAAAATGGTCTTTCTATTCGATTTAGGATAACGGCCCTATACGATACAATAAAAATGTTCAATGAATTTTTATATACAATTTAATGTAGCAACTAAGTGTAACTACAATTAAATTAGATTTTAATAGTTGACTACTTATACAATTTTGTTTAATTGATCTCATTTTGTAAATAATTGTTGTAGCGAGTTTTAGATAATTATTATCTTTACAGAAAAATTATATAATATACAGTTGACTTGTCGTTAATAATAATGAATTATAGTATTTTATTAATATACTGTGTTTTTACTTATTATAAATCGGACAATTACTAACAATGTTTAAAGGACTAAGAATATAATTATTTATAACGTTTTTAATCGTTTAATTACCCTTATTGTTAGAATTTTGCGCCGCAATTACTATGACATGATCTATAGGAAGAACCCTTTCCAAAAAAGTGTTACACATTAAAATCGGACAATTAACGAAAAAGTTATATTTATGGGTAAGATTGTTTATAACGTTTTTACTCGTTTAATTACCGTTATTGTTAGAATTTCGCGCCGGCATTTTCTATGTAATTTCCCTGCTCTTTTCTTTCCTTCGTCGCTCTCTTGCATTCTTCGTCGGATCATTCATATTGCTGTTCTGTTGGTTTTTGATCCAGCACTTCTTCCTTGATGGTACCTGGCGGGCGTTGTTGCTCTGACGCAAATGTAGTTGTTTCGCTCACAATATGATTCATCAAAAAACCATTGGTCATATGATGCATTATGTTCGTCTAGTAACATGAAAGTGCAACTAGAACCTCCAATAAATTGAAATCTCGGTGGTACCGGAATTAGACGGGTGACCATATTATTATCATCAATTTCGCTGTAGTTTTTCTAAAGTAAATTACTTACGAAGCTCGTTTGATATACATAAATAATATACAAAATATCATAAATATCAAAAGCTGCAGTGGCTGCTAGTCAGTCGGGCCGCCCTATAAGCAATTCGGGCCTATACGTGTGAATGTGCACTGTTCAAAGAATGTACCGATAACCTGAGAAAACTTGCCAGAGGAAATGAAGTTACCCTATAATGGATTCCAGGTCACAAAGTAATTCGAGTCGTCCAAGTAATGAAGATGCGGACAAGCTGGTGAGAAAAAGAGGCAGCGAGGACGCCCTTTATTAGATTAAATACCACATCGTTCCCTAATGTCTGTCTATATTTCTTATCTGGTTTCGTCAAGTCTTACCCAAGATAGTTCGCAACGTTTTCATTTTGGAATCTCTTAGTTTTGCTCTTATTACAATTTTTATCGTGCTGTCCATTTACTGTATTGATCTCTCTTAAGCATCTTGACTAGAGATGTCTCATTATTGATTATTACGATTATTGCTGGAGATAGCCAGTTGGTGTTTACGCTTTTCCAAACCGTAATGTAAGGTAGAGATTCGTTTTTTATTTAAGCATGTACTAATACTAAATATTATGAAATTATTGTAATATTTAGAGCTATTCATGCAAAATCATCAATTGTGAAAGAAATGATAAATAAATTTGAACTCTATCAATTTTATACACATATTGCTCTTTCAAACAAATTTCTTTTAAATTTACAACACGTTTGTGTTTTTACTTTCAAAATTGTAACCATACTCTTTTTTATTTTAGATTGGTTGCTAAATTAGAAGAAAAATCTCCAGATCAAGTAGAAGTCTTCAAAACGAATATGAACAAGGTAATGAAGGACATCTTGGGAAGGTTTAAAGATCTTCAATTCTTCACCGGCGAATCAATGGATTGTGACGGAATGGTCGGGTTGTTAGAATATCGCGAAATTAATAACGAATCAGTACCCGTTTTAATGTTCTTTAAACATGGCTTGGAAGAAGAGAAATTTTAGTTCCCACCAAGAAAAAAAAAAAAAAAAAGAAAAAAAATTTTTTGCTCTCATTTTTTTTTGATAATCCAAATCCAATTTTAAACTAATCCTAAAGTAAAGTAAAAATCTGGTTCATATAAGAAAAAAGTCCGTAAATAATTTTTTTTAAGTTTTTTCTCCTTATTCTTTTTTTTACTCTAATTTAAAGGAAAAATAAAATAGATGCATTTATAATTTTATAAAGCCTAAAAAAAAAACAATAAACGCTGAAGAAAAAGGGAGATACCATTTAAATGGATGTTTATATACGATGATTAAATCGAGATTATTGAAATAAATATTTGAAAATTAAAGAAAAAATCTTTATTCTATATTCCTTATTTTTTTCCTACAAAAGAAAATTATTGTCTTTATTAATCTGTACATATATTGCTATAAATATTAATAGATAATAGCAGAAATCGTTTATAACTATTTTTTTATCGTCATTAAATTTAATTAAAATATTTAAAACATAAAGTTAATATATTCGTTATATGCGATTTCTGATTTACATTTTTTTTATTCTAATTTATAATTCGTTGCGATTTAAAGATTCTTTTTCAGGCCAAAAGAAAACAATTTTCCAACAAAATTGTATGATAAGGTAAGCGACTAATAAACTACCCATTCCTTTTAATACGATAGTTGTACCTTCGAAAATGGAAAAGTCTTCGTCTTCAGTTCTGCATTGGTTACTCAGTGCAACCTAAAAACAATAATGATTATTAATATGTATTTATTTATATTTTTCGTTGCTATAATTTAACTAAATTATCTTTTTACAGAGTTTTACCAATAATTTTATATAAATTATTTTTATAAACATTTCAATAAAGATAATTTTGTGTGAATTTTAACTACCAACAGCAAGGAATTAATTTTGACGATTGTATTATACAGTAAGTCCGTGAAGTAGGTAGCGGATATAGACGATAAAATCATTGTAAACTGTTTATGAAAAAACCCCTGAAACATGTCTAAATATTTAAAATCGGTCGGTGTTCTACGTTGAGCTAAATAGTTTATGCAAACATGTTCGATTCTTAACAACTACAACGGAGAGAATCTTTAGCAGTTCTTTAAATACTATAAGTAAAAATAATAAGATATACAGTGAGGCTGCAAAGTAGCGGATATAGGCGATAAAATCATTGTAAACAGTTTATAGAAAAATCCAAAGAATAGAAACGGGTCTAAAGATTTAAATTTTTAGATTTGAAATTTTTTCCGCCATTTTTAAACGAGTCATCGATTTCTTTTAGCAACCCCAATTTTTATTACGAAGTATGATTTTTTATGAATCTAGGATAGACAACATTAATATTGGTTACATAAGAAAATTTTCGAGAAAAATTACTTTACAGTTTAACTACTTCATATTTGCTTGACATAATAGAAATAGCAATTGCTATGAGTCACTATGGTAACCAATTATTTTAAACAATTTACTATTAAACAACACTAAGGGCCGGTTGTACACAGTGGCGGCGTTAGCAAATGAAATTGTCTGAAATTGCAATAATTATAAACTAGACTTCAGCAAAAAACAGGAATTACATTGTTCAAAGTCCACATGAAGTCTGAAATTACTGTTCAGAGAAAACAAAAAATTGATTATAAGCCAAACATGATTTTTCATGGCAATACTTATGTGTTCAATAAAAGAATGCGACGAATATGAACAAGAAACCAATGGACTTGTCTTGTTATTGCACAGGACAGGAAATCACCAATACGGGAACTTTGCCAATGCAGGATAAGCACAAAAGCAAAGTAACAGCTGTAGAAATGAGGTATCGGGTGGTACAAAATCCCCCCAGAAAGAAGTAGCTGTCAGTATCAAGAACAAAACATACATAACGTTGTCAGAAGAGTAAATACTGCTTCTAGAAGACTAAATACTGCTTTCTGAAGACTAAATACTTCCGATAGGTCTAAATACAGCGTCTGGAACACTAAATACTGCCTTTTAAAGACTAAAATTGCTTTGTGGAGACTAAATACTGCTTTCTGAAAACTAGATACTACTAACAGGTCTAAATACTGCAAAAAAAAGATAAAATATTTTGAAGAAAACATACATAACTTTGGCAGAAGACTAGATACTGCTTCTAGAGGACTAAATACTGCTTTCTGAAGACTAGATACTGCCGACAGGTCTAAAGACAGCGCCTGGTACACTAAATACTGTTTTCTAAAGACTAAAATTGCTTTGTGGAGACTAAATACTGCTTTCTGGAGACTAGCTACTGCTGACAGGTCTAAATACTGCAAAAGAAAGATAAGATATTGTTGGAGAAAACATTAAAAAGGCGCTGACGCCCCCTTTTAGGCGGCGCCTGGGTGCAGTGCACCCCTTGCACCCCCCGGTAGCGTCGCCTCTGGATGTACAATATACCGATAAACTTCCCGACAACGTTATTAAGCCTATAAGTTAGTTTATACTGTATTACAATGTACGGATATTTTTGTCGGTGAGATTATCGGCAGGATAACTTATCGGGTACTCAACGGTGCCGATAAGACAGTTATTCGGCAGATATTTATGGTTACCAAGGTTTTTATGTAAAAACTTTGTATATTTACTGCATAGGTTAACCTATAACATTAACCGTTAACCCTATACGTACGTTGTGTCAGTTGTCTGCCGTGATACATTTTTTTAAACAATTCTTATTGTCAAAATAATAATTAAAACGTCAAAGAAAGACGTTAGCGTTACCAACCTACGACACAAATTACTAGATATGGGGAAAAACTACAATCAACCTAGTCTTATTTCGCCGATAGGAATCCTACCGACAAAAACAGTTTGTACGAATATCTTTATCCTCCCAAAGTTTATCGGCCGGATAGTTATCAGGTAGATTTAGCGGCATATTGTACAACGAGCCCTAAACCTAAGAAAGGATGAATCGTGGAGGCAACCTGGCAGAGCATTCAAAAATGTATCCACGAGGCAGCAGATGAAGCCATTTGTAAGAGGAAAGTTAACATCAACGCAACCAAAAACCACACATAGTGTTGCGAAGAGTTTAGAAATCTGGCATAACTAAAAATGAGCTATTTAAGAAGCTACATTTCCTGCAAAGTAAACTCCAGAATAATCAATGATACAGACTATGATCTATATGGGTCTCAAAAGTTTGAAACGTGCTTCGAAATAGAAAGAAGCCACTCAGCGAGGAATAATATTTTACATAACTATACTTTAAAGAAGAGGTAACACAAGATAATGAACCTGTAGTACCTACTAGAACTATTATTTAGGAAAAGGAAGTCGAAGAAAAACTTGACAAACTGGAAATACGAAATCTCCCAGAAACGACGACATACCTAATGAATTGCTGACAGATAGATTAAGACAGCCAACAGAAAAGCTGACCCGCAGAAAATTGAATCATGACTAGATATGTTATTGGATACTTTGATCCTGGGCGATTTTTTAATATTCCATCACTTGCTGTCATGAAAGATGAATCTTGTACAATTGGATAACGTGGGTAATATTATAGATAGAACAATCGATTTGATGCTTGCTTAATCACACATAAATCTTAACATGATACACTCGAATTTTGCTTTGGTTCGCGAAAACAATTATCATCCAGCATTGTTGGGAACTCAAAATATATCTGCACCTTAGTTCCTTACGGCTCGAAATATATACCGACACTTCATGTGTTCTCCGATGGTTTTTGGCACATACGTATCCAAGACATTATATAAACATGAAGCAATACTGGGCTTGCTTCAAAAGAGCTAACCTGCCCGACATTTACAATGCAGTTTTGAGTATTGATTAGAATTACCTGCTGTCTTTGTCATCAGTTGAAGTACCCTGTGATGTTTTCTATACGATATTATATAATGTCCTGGACACGTATGTGCCAAAAACCATCGGAGAACACACGAAGTCTAAATATTCTCTATCTATGGTACTCGACTAATCTAAAGCAAATGCTTAAGCTAAAGAAACACTACCTACCATCAATTGTCTAAAGTCTAAACGAACCAATTACTCCTTTTATCGAGCAAGATATGTTCGTCTCCGCCTGGACTGTAAAACACATATGCGAAAGGTTTGCCGGGAATATGTAAGGTCCTTGGAATAGAAGATGAAGAATGACACAACGAGTTATTGGAGATTTGTTAATGTGACCAGAAACAGTGTTGTCTCACCAGATATTCTCAAACGCGATGGTGAAATTTTTTCTGATCTACCGACTGTAGTTGATATGTTTGCCGATCATTTTGAAAGTATGTGTCTTCCGGCTCCAGATGTTAATGTTAATAGTGCCCATGTTGGCAATGACTCTCGGCATCTCTGAAGTGAGTCATGATGAGATTATGGAAGCTTTTAAAAAATTTTAGGCAAAAACTATCCCAGCATATATAGTCAAAGACTGCTAGTGCTCCGAAGATCTGGAAGTTGAGCAGAGTTTGTCTTGTTTTTAAGAAAGGTGATAAATGCTACGTAACAAACTATCGACCTATAGCCATTATAAATAATTTTTCCAAACTTTTCGAGCAAATCGTGACACGCAAAATCGAATTTTACACTAAGGCCCGTATATCTGACCATCAACATGCGTTTTGCAAAGGCAAATCCACAGCCACCAACCTACTCAGCGCAGGTGGGCAGGTGGATGTGATATATACTGACTTTTGACGGGCTTTTGCTTGCTTGGAGCATGGTTTGTTGGTTGAAAAGTTGGAGAGGTTTGGATGTGATCACTTTCTCACACGACTTCTGGTATCTTGTGTATCCGATCGCAGAGAATACGTTGAGTTAAGTGGTATGAAGTCAAGGCAAATACATGTTACACTCTGTGTGCACACTCTTACGGAAGATAACGATGACGCTAACAAAGATGTATTTTATGATAAGCTTGAAGGAACGTATGACAATGCACCAAATCACAACCTAAAAATCATAATTGACGACATGAATGCAAAATAAAAACCATAAAATAACTTCTAACTTGCTTTATTAAAATTTGTAGTCGTACTAGTTTCGGGTTGCGAAACTGGGAGCCGATATATCGACCAAATATAGGAGTAGAGAGCCTGCACAAAGAATTCAATGGCCATGGGATGACTACAATTGATTTTGCTGTTTACAAGAATATGACCATATATTCGACATACTTGTCCTGAAAGGATATCCATAAAGCGATGTAGACCCCTATAAAAGAATGTGGAACCAAATCAAATACATTTTGGCTGACACCCGGTACTGACGTTGATTCCGATCATTATCTCCTCAGAGATCACAGACAAAGAGTTTTATGCCTTAGAACAAACGGAAATAGGAACATACGTAACCCAGCCAGCGTATGATGCTCAGAAACTCACAACAAACATAACATTGACAGAGGCTTACCGTGAGAGAATAGTGGAGCGAGAGTGAGCAACGGTTAAACAATCATTCCAGAATGCAATCAGCTAAAGGAATCAAAGAAATGGCCGAGATGAGAAATGTATAGCCGTATAAAGGATGAAAAGAAGGGTTTTCAAGCCCGTACAACAATGGTTTTGGACAAACAAGAATGGTAATTTGATGGTGGAGTATTTCGAGGAATTGGTGGGTTTAGCAAGCCTTCATCAGCTTTAAAACCTGATGAAATTATAAAGCGCTTGGTGAAGACTTAATAACAGCGAAATGCTTGAAGTATGGAGGTGATAACTTAAATAATAGAGTGGCTGATTTCTAAAAGATGGCAACAAAAAAAGATGCCCGACAAATGGGACATGGCACTTATCTGTCCCATCCACAAAAAGGGCTCTAAACCACCACTTTAAGAAACATTAGAAGCAGAGTGAAAGTTGCAACGAAAACCATATGAAGATCAAGGAGAGACTAAAAGTTGCACATTTCAGCACTCAGTACTTGCTGAAGTCACTATTAAACATATTCGCTGGTGAGCAAGGCGAATGGAGTATATACGTATTGATAGCTAAACGAAGTGCCAACACTAGTTGCAGAGATTAAAAGTGCCCGAATTAGATGGTTGAGCCATCTGGAGCGCCAAAGACCAGAAAGGCCGTCGACTGCAAGGTCGACCCCTAAACAATATAAAGATGACGTTGAAGGATCTTACATAACAGTAGTACCAATTTGATGATGATGATGTTACTTTCTCTTACTATGGCAATTCATCTCTTTATTATGCTGTGTGGTAACAACAATAAGCAATATGTTCCACTCATCCGTCATGGCCTCTCCAAATTTGAATATAATTTAGAATTTGAACAAAAAAACATAATCTGTATTGTCTTAAGAAATATTGCCAGAAATAAGCTAACAACAGAACATTTTTTAACCGTAACATTTTCATTTTTACCCAAATTTCGTTCTTCCCCAAAAATTAAAATATAACTATAATTTAAAATGTAAGTCATCTTTAGCTCCAGGAAATAGAGCTATTTTAATCCGTGATTCTTAATAAAAATAAATTAAATATAGCAAAATGAATTTAAACGATTATCGCTTAATTTAAATACATTAAACTCTAAAAATAACTTTAAAATAACACGTGTAACTATTATGTTTTTATGTCATTTCGCAAAAAGGAACATAATTCACTTAACGTGCGCAGAGTTACAAATAGAACTTACCTAATGAATCTTTATGGTTCATAAACGCTTTCCGATAATTGAAAAGTTTACTTTTAAACTGTTTCTAATAGAAATACAAATACAAAGAAAACTACATTTTCGTTTAATCTTAAAAGAATAAAAAATGATTTATGCAACGTACCCATCCTCCATTAGCGGCTATCCAATCAGCTAAACAATCCTCGAGGACCTCTTCCATAGCATCCATTAAGGCGTGCAAATACTCTGGATGACCTTGGCAAACACAATCGACCGCTAAACCTCCAGAAACTGCAAAAATTGCCACGATTTTTCCCCACGTTATATCACCATTTTTAAAAAGATCGTGAGCAATCGCCGTTAATAAAGTACCGGCTGCTTTGTCGGAAATCAAAACACCACCAGGTGTAGCACTTGCTTGTCTTGACACGTTCGAAAACAATTTTGGATGCATACTTTCGAGTTCTAATCCGGCAAAAACCAGCGCGGGAAAAACTTCGCGAACAATTCCAGCACTCGATGTACCAACCATGCTTCTAATTCGATACAATCCTAATTTTTTACTGAAAATTCCCGAACGTTTCAAACGATTCCTGATGTATTGTCCGCAAAGAACGCGACCTTGCCCGATGATTTCTTCCGGCGGTATCGATGGTGTTCTCCACGATCCGATGATTGTCGTTGATAATTTCCGAGAAACAACATCGCTCACGTTACTAAACCGACGTTTTGTATTGAACCCGGGAGGTTCTTCAACTTTCAAATGATGTAGATTTGAGTGTAAAGCACTTGGGATGCTGAATTTCCTTTTTTGATGGTTTTTTTGATTCAAGTGATGGTGAAAATTGGGTAATCCGATGTTTTGACTAAGATGATTGCTTTTAAAAATAGCGATTTTTGGTAAATTTGGTAGTTTTGGGTTTTGGGATAATGTTAAGTGATCGGTTTCTTGGAAAATTTCATCTTGTTCGTTTTCCGGATCGTTTTCATCCATCTGATTCGAATCGAATGTTGTCATTTTTTGAATTATTTTGGAACGAATCAAAATTTCAAAAGCTGAAAAAAATAAAAGAAATCGTAAATAACTAAGTTTGTTTAGACAATTTTAAATAGTTTCAGCTTGCAGATTGATTTCAAACGAATCCTAACAATTTCAAATGAATCTAAACGACCGTCACTTAATTTGAACCAATTAAACTGTAAAAATAATCTTCAAATAACACGTGTGAAGTATTTGATGGATATTCATACGTTGTTTCACACATAAAAGTAATTCAATTAAAGTGTCGGCTCATCAAATACAAATTAGGGCAATAAAACTTTATGATTCGTGAATGTTTTCACGGAAATTAAACAATTGTATGTATTCATGGTTAAAAAAAGACTTCTAGTAATATAAATATGCTTTAAACTTGAAGTTGTTAACGTGGGATGTTATGGGTTTAGATTTAAAACTTCATTCAAATTGCGGATAATTTTAGGTTCTCTAAAGTTTAATGGTGTGGAAGCATACAAATTCCCACACTTGCACTGCTAAATGCCGCAGTGTTCCATTTAGAACGTCGCGTATTTCGTATTAAATCTATTCGCTCCTAGTAACCTATATAATCTAAAGATCAACAACAAAATTTAACATTTAAGAATACAAAATTAAAACATTATTTAATATGAAGATGATTAAAAACCTTATACATTTTTTTATAATTAGAAAACTATTAAATTTTAACAATTTTCAAAGTCAGTCAGTTTTCAAAAAGCCAAGTTCAAGTTATTTTTCTGGTTAACATTAAAAATTGATTTCTCGAAAACTATTCGTGATTCTTTAAAACGATTTTCAAGGTTAACATTTTAAGGAAACTCTAAATAAACACTCCAAATTTGTTTTTTTCTAATTTTATACAGATTCAAGAAAAAGATTTAAAAAAAGTGTGTTCACTAAATCTTTTTGCAATTGCTTTAACTTTAAAGATCGATTCTTTTAATCTCTTCTAAATTCTTCGACAAACGGTTTTTACCACTAAATTATACTAGAATATTGAATATATCGTCGGTTTGGAAGAAGAGCTTTACATCTCAAAATCTATAGATTTTCAGGAAAAGCATTTATAAATTTGCATGATAATAAAAACATTATCATCATGACAAATGAAATACTAAAACTCTAATTCTTTGCAACGGATAAGAGTATGCTTTAAGCAAGTATTAAGAATGATAAATTTTTATCCACGTGAAACTGCAACCCTTAAATTCACCCCTTTAATAAATATGTGACAGTCTTGACCAAATTTTTTAAAATTTTTATTCGATTTTTTATGGCAAACTATTTATAAAAAATAAAACATTTTTAATATCAAGAACAGAATATAAAAAAAAATCAATTGCCAAAAATTTATAAATTATTATAGAAATCGTAATAATAGTGTGGAACAACCTTCTTTTTAATTAGAGATAATATTCCTTTTTTCTTAGCCTCAGGAATTCCTACTTTCTTGTTATAGGTTTTTTTTAATTGAACCGAATTAAAATCTTTTTTTTGCGTCTCGTGTTTATAAAATTAGCAGTAGAAAATTGTTCCTCTTCGTAAGAATTTTTGTAAAAAAAGCTTCCGACAGGACCTTTTTCTACCCTAAACACTTTTATGTCAGTGACTTTAACCAATTCGCCTTCCGTATTCTTAAGCACATTGTTAATACCCATCTGATTCAGAAGTTCTTTAAAGTCAAAAAAACTTTCGTGGCACATCTCTTCCACTTCCACAGAATACGGCTTACCATTTTTTTTTGCCTGCCTGATGAGTGTCATGTACTGTTCTGGGACATAAATCGATGCAGATTTCCTAAATTTTCTGACATTACGTTCTATTACAGAATGGGCACTATCGCCCTCATTCTGTGTATGTCCTGTTACGAGATATTTATGAGTGATCGAGTGAATGTTCTGTAATTTTAAACAGCAAACAAATATAAACCAAAAATAAATTTGTTCTTATTCTGCCCGGTACAATTATCGCTATAGAAAACAATATCTATAATTTTTTCTTCGTTTTGGGCTATATTGTTTAAATTATTTAAGTAATGCCAGACGCACGAAGCAATTTCATTTGCTCCTCTGTGTCCTTGTGCTTCATGCCAAACATAACAATCCACCTTGTTATCTTTCAATTGATATACAGTAAAATTAAAAACATTCAATTTTGATACGTAGTAAAAAGAAGATGCATCTCCTGTTGGGCATGGCAACACCGCTTGCAAATCATAAACAGCAACAATGCTGGTTGAAGCTTTATCCTTCTCTTTCTCCTGTCGTGATAGTTCTTTTTCTTTAAGGTGGGTGTCGTATTTTTCTTGCAGATCACCTTTTTCTTCCGTACTGGCATTTACAAAAGCAAGGCACAATTCGCATTGGTCCTTTTTGGGAGTGAAAAATGCAATATTGAACTGCTTGTTGAATATTGTATAATACATTAAATAATTAGAGTATGGGATATTTTGTTCCTCACACGCTGATTTATAGTCTCTATAGAGCTCAGAAACTGTCTTACTACCTTCTATATACTCCTTTTTTGTCTCAGATCGGCAGTAGTGACTTTCAATACGTGGTATCGAATTTATATGAGCTCTAATACCATTTTTTACATCCTCAGATACCGATGCATGATTCGCATGCTTCCCTCTCTTTTCTGTCTGTAAGATTTCTTTGGTAAGGGAAACTTGTTTTTGTTGTACAGTGCGTATAATCCTGCTATTAATTCCTAATGTGGCCATGAACATCAGTTTACAGACACGAATCTTTTGGCCACCTAAATCTAAATGGAAAGCATTATTACTACCACGGTGGCTTTGGTCTTTTTTATATTGATATTTTGGTGTAACTGCAATCATACACGACGATATGAAATCGCGCTGTCGCTGAAGATCAGACATTTGCCAATATTCTGTGAATATTTTTCGCCTATTTTCTTCGGTAAACTTAGTAGAACATGTTAATTGGCATTTAGTACCACAAGGCGGTAACATTTGCTTTCCATCACGTGATACTAACATGCGCTGTTTAGTTTCATCCTCTGTTGTAATTATTTTAATAGATTCGTAAGGTTGACCACTATTTCTGAGAAGTTTTGGCTTTGTTTTTTTTGCCACAAATCTTTATTACATTTTTTTTTCTTGACGTTCTGTTTTGTTTGAGAACGATTTGTAACACAATGTTTTTTGGAATTATTTTCTCCTAATGACGTGGTCGCTTCTTCATTAGATTCACTTGATTCACATGATGACGATGATGAGTCACTTTCACTACTTGCAAAATTTTGATCACGTACTGAATCATCTGAATCAAAAGGATCTGTAAGCTTTTCTTCCTCATTATCTGCAGTACTGCTTCTATCCTTACTTCCTTCATTCAAATAACTTTGGCATTGAAATTTGGATAAATCGGGTTCTGTAAGAAAAATACCTTTTATTTTATAGTAAAATATTAATTCCTCACCTCTTACCGTTCTCAATGTTTTCCATTGGGATATTATCACCGCAGGTTATTTCTAATTGTTCAGCAATGGTTGGATTATTATCAATATCTTTTTCTAAAATAACATATTCTTTATTTATATGCGTATAATTATGATAGCAGTAATATAATTATCTTACCATTATCATGGTTCTTATTTTCATCAATATTNATAATTAGAAGATGGAAGAGGAGACAGCTTGCGTGTAAAACTAACGGTGTTGGCATTAAAGGGGGAAACCACATAGGAGGTTCATTTTCATAGATTTTTTAGGATTTTTTTTGGGTGGGAAGAATTAATCAGAATTTAATCAAATTTTGACATTATTTTGTGAATTTTTTTGAATAGTTTTATCGAAAAATAACAAAGTTATGCTCTGATGTCCGCTGTACGTCGAACCTAGAGTTCTCCAATTGCGGGACGTGTAGCCATTTCAATTTCCATCTGATATCAAAAATATGAACCTCAATGCAGGTAAATGTAACGAAAATTAAAAATTTTGCAGGTGTTAGAAAAATTTACTTAAAATTTCACATTTTTTCTTTACTAATTATGCAAAAAAAACACTCTTAAAATCACCTCAAAAGTTGGTTCATATATTTCGTAATTTCATAAAGAATCATACTATCAATTTTCATAATGATTGGTTCATTACCTTTTAAGCAAAATGTGAAAAACGTCATTTTGAGAAACACGCGTTTTTATTATATATTAGTCCTTTTTCTTCCTCATAGGCTTCATTTTGCGCCTGCAGCAGTGCTTTTCAAGCTTGCCGACCTTCCTTCGACTTCAATGAACTACGTCGATTCTGTCTAGAACTATTTGTTCGGCGTAATTGAAGCTTTGCGTACCTACTACAATTCCTGCTTCGTTCATGATCATCAGAAGAGATGAATTTCCTTCATTGAATAAGCCCACGGCTAAGTACGATGCCAATTCGATGACTTTTAGTCCAGAGTGCAAATGTTTAGGAACTAATCGCCAAATTGTGGAATCAAAGCTTTCATTTGCGTTTTACTTGTGGCTACCTAAACATCTTTCCAGTAATTCATCCCTTGGTAAATCTTCATATATATGCAGAATTTCCTGCTGTGTGTCGGTATGCAATAGAGTAGGGTGCGGTGCAAGCTCCATTGCAAGAGCTATTCGTTTCTGCCACACGCACCAACTGTCTTCTCCCTATGGGCAACACTCGTGTCGAGGATTTTCATCGGTGGATATCATATGATAGTATGTCGCCATCATTATTATCACTCTGTTTATTACTGTGCTGGTTCCCATGGAACTTTCTTTTACGCGGCTTACTGCGGCGTTTGTAAGTGTCACGATCACCTTTCGGATACGAAGACATTCTCACTTTCAATTGCAAACGTACTCGTAGAAACTAAATCAAAACTGAAACTTTTCCATCCAACCGTCCCTTTTTTCTTGAGTTCGCAAGATTTTGAAATTGCTCTCTGTCAAAATGGCAGACTTCCTCTTTCTTCCGTTATATTTTGTGACTTTTCTTTCACCAGCTTTTGGGAAAGGACGAATTTCTTCCGGCG